AAGATAGAAACGCCTTGAGTTGTGAAATATTGAATTAAATGAAGTCAAAACGCCAACAGCAAACAACAACAATTTCAATACGGCTTGGTTGTAGGAAGGTAATAAATATAAGATATCGTTTAAAAAGAAAGTGATTTGTTGCTTGTAATTTGGTTTTGGTGTTAACTGCCATGTTCTCCTGCGGCTATTTCTTCGTTTTCGCATAAGCAATGCAAATAACAATTTTCATATGCAATAAAGTCTGGAGAGGTTAATGGAATTTTGTGGACTTTTTTGGGAATTTTGGACATGCATTTAAAGTTTTTTGCTTCTTTAGCTGCTAATGGCGGAGGAAGACCATGTAAAGATAAAATTGTTTTATTTATCTTCTATAGATGGAATACAAAATTTTTATACCCCACATCACATAGTGGTAAGGTTATAACAGGGTGGAATGAAAAAACTGCAACCAACTTCAGACAGCTGTCACTCGCCCGACAGGTGTTAAAATTATTCCAGTGACAGCTCATTATATTGTATACTAGAGTACAAAGGCATTTTATTGAGAATTTTTCAGAAAAAAAGTTATTCGTGATGGAATACAAGCTTGATAGTGTGATTTCTTTATATTTGGTTGGAAAACCACAAGTGGCTATCGTTAGAGCACTCCAACATTTGAATGTGAATAAATCATTTATGTCTCGTACCATCGCTAGTTGCCGTGATACCGCTACCGTAGCCCGACGTCAAGGAAGTGCACGGAAGAAAACATCAGCATCAGCAGAATTGGTTCGAATAGTAAAGAAGTGATTTGATCGAAACCCGCTTCACAGTGGCCGAAAAATGGCTTGTGAGCTGAACATATGTCAATATTCCATTCGCAAATGCTCGAAAACGAGCTCGGAGTAAAGCCATTGAAATTCCAAAAAGTGCAAGAACTTACACAACAGAAAGAAAATAGACTCAAAAGAGCTAAAGAGTTGCTTCGCTTGGCCGAAAGTGGTGTACCGCCGAATTTGGTTTTATCTGATGAGAAAACATTCGTTCTTCAGCAGTTTGTACATAAACAAAATTATTGTGTTTATTTGCCAAAGAGGTCAGCTGAAAATATGCATCTTTGGTTGGCCACCAGAACTTATGCGCCGGCCATGGTGATGTTGTGGGCCGCCATAACAGCCGATGGTCGCTCTACGCTCGTATTAATCGGCCGTGGCATCAGAATAAATGCCGAATATTATAGCGAAAATATTCAAAAGGGTGTATTAAAGCCTTGGACATGCAAACATTTTGCCCGCAGACCTTGGATATCCCAACAGGACTCAACTCCATCGCACTCAGCACCCGTCACCCAAGCATGGTTACTAAATGAGGTTCCTCGTTCAATTCAGCGCAAAATGGCCACCAAAATCTCCGGATACCAATCCGTTGGACTATTGTGTCTGGAGTTTTTTGGAAAGCAATGTTGGCACTTAAAAATAGCAAATTGTAGATCACCTCAAGCAAGCGCTTCGCTGGGAATGGGTCAATTTATAATGAAAAAATTCTTACAGAAATATCATTCATTTGATTCTGATATCGAAAAGTGATTCATTCTAAATGATTTAGTAATTTTTAAAGAATACAAATGTTTTTATTGCTTGTTGTGTTAGTTCAACACAAACAGAACTATTTAAATTTACTCACTCGCTCGCTCTCTCTCCCCCATCATAATAATGGTAATTCGTGAGTTTCCCACGGAAGTAATGTGCGGTAATAATTCATAAGTAAATACGCTACTGCGCCCCATCATCGTACGTAACATTTATAATAAGTGACGTTACGCTTTATTTCAAAAGGTACTTTGGTCACGATCTTCAATGAACTTGTCAGACACGAATGCACATAAGTATATATATTTTGAAAAATAAACTACTGGAATCTTGAATGATTTTCTAGTAGATGAGCTTTTTTTTGAATTTGTTTTCAAAGGAAATATATTGAATGGAAAATATTTTGGGAATATAATGACATAGCCGTGGAAAAGGTTGGTATACATAGTTTGGTCACGTATTTATACAAAAATGTCAAATTCATTACATTTGAAACGGAAACTATAATATGTGAGTTATGTCCGTTAACTAGCCAGAGTATTAATTTTTGGGACATTTATACCGTTATATTTTCTAAAACAGTTACAGTAAGTTTACAGTATATCGGATGAGCTTTTGACATTTGAAGTAAGGTGAGTGTATTTAAAGAGTTTTCATTATGATGTGTTATTTTGGTATTCCAAAATATACATTTTTTGGAATAATTAATCGGATGTTTGATTCATAATAAAGAGTAAGGTATGTCGTTAACAATCTTTATCAGCGAAATAGGGAAGCGAGCCATATCCCTTGAAATTTTACATAACCAATTCGCAAAGTGGCTGCCATTTGTATTCGATAGCGTCACAAATTCTATCTTTGAAGTCTAAAATCGTCGCTGCTTACTGGCAATGCAGACTTAACTTAACTTCATAAGTCCAACTTTAGGAGTGTTCGTCTACTCAATAATTTGTACAAATTTACTGGATAAACAAATTTAACATATCTATATGTATTGCGGAATAAAATTAACAACAATAGATAAGGACAAAGTAAGTAACGAAGAAATGTAAATAATTTAAGAGCAGATGATGAGCTATTTTTTTTAGGTGTCAAATCGAGCTAAAAATTCATCCGTGGATCACTATGCCTATATTGGAGATGCAGAAATTTGCTGCAGACTGTATCCTTGTTCACACTAAGTAAAGTTTTGTTTTTTTATTCATTATTTTTGTAAAGACAAAAAAATTAAGTAAAAAAGCTGTAAGTTCGGCCGGGCTGAACTTTGAATACCCTTCAGCAATTGGAACAAATTTGGCAATTTTCAAAAAAACCGTTAAAAATTCTGTTAATTAAGGCCTAAACGACGACGTGGACCTGCATAGGCAACGTTTGTCATAATCCAATTGCAATATTCAAATGCGAAACTTTAAAAAAATCGGTGAATACTTTAGCTAAAATCATCAATATAAGGAGGTACTATTATATGGACCAAAATGTGGACATGCACAGATAATTTTCTGCCTTAGGCTGCAGTATGCATTACGAACTTCAAATACCAAATTTGAAACAATTCCGGTGAATAATGTCGCTAAAATCATTAAAATACCAAATATAGGGAGGTACCGTTATATAGGCGCTATAAGAAGACGTGGACCTGCACAGTCAATTTTCTGTCTTAGGCTGTAGTATCTATTACGAACTTCAAATACCAAATTTGAATCAATTCCGGTGAATAATGTCGCTAAAATCATGATAATACTGAATATGTGGACCTACATGGCCCATTTTCAGTACCAAAAGTCTTGCAGACACTTCATTTCGTTCGGAATCTAGAGTGAATTCCACAGACGGTGGGACAGACGGATATCGCTAAATCGGCATAGAATTTTATACTGATCAAGAATATATATACTTTGTGGGGTCAAAAATTTATATTTCGAGGTGTTACAAACGGAATGACAAACTTAATAAAAAAAAATGTGAAACCGTGCCTACATCAATTGGAGATGCAGGAATAATAGTTATTTGTTGCCGACTGTATCCCTGTGCACACTAAGTCAATTTTCCTTCTATTATTATTATTTTTTTGTAAAGAAAATATAAAAAGTAAAAATGATATTAGCCATTTGGGACACCATAAACCTGATATCGGATAAAGATATATATGGGAGCTATATCAAAATCTGATCCGATCTCGATAATATTTGATAGAGGTATTTCAGGGCTGTATCTGATATCTGGTACCAAATATTATTCTTGTGGGGTGAGTATTACGCATGTAAGGGACCTAAAACCCCAAATCGGATGAAACATAGTTATATCTGAACCGATTTTCTAAAAAATTTAAAGTACTAGCTTTTAGGCTGAATTCTGTCGGATGTGCCAAATTTAAATCCATTTGGTCTGATATTAGCCATTTTGTGTAAAATAAACCTGAAATCGGATAAATATATATGTGGGAGCTATATATAAATCTGATCCGATCTTGACAAAATTTAAGGCACTTATTTCTGATCTGATATCTGGCACCAAATCTGAAATCTGATCGGATTAAATCGGATCTGAAATCTGATCGGATTAAACTTATAGCTATATCTGAACTGATTTTCACCAAATTTGAAGTACTTACTTCTAGACTGAATTCGGTCGGATGTGCCCAAATTCAGGTCATTCGGACTGGTACTGGTATATTAACCCAAATCCGTTAAAGATACATATGGGAGCAAGGTTCGTCCTTGGACCAAAGAAAATATTATTTGGAAAATTTTTTGTCAATCGGATAAAAAATCCGATTTGCATTTTGGTCACAAAATACACGGACAGACGGACTGACATGCATATATCGACTCAGAAAGTGATTCTATGAAGATCCTCAAAAGTAACTATGGGTCTATCTCGCTTCCTTCTCCATGTTACAAACAATTGCACAAAGACGATTTCCACTATGCGGCGTGGGGTATAAATACAACAAAACATTTTTGTTATTAAGATTTGCGCCAAAGTCATTTCGATGGATCGGTTGTTTGTTTACTTTTCGCAAATTTTTTCTCTCGAGGGAGAAAAAAAAACATATTTTTTCTAAGTAACTTCTTACTGAGTAAATGTTTAGCGGATAGTAAACGAACGGACCTATTACCAGTCCTTCTTTCAAAATGAAACTAAATCATCAAAATAAAATGGGAAATCCGATATAAGCTGATTGGTAATATGACATGACGATTGTCATAAAAGCCAACCGAACCCACAAAATAAACATACATATTTAAATATCTAAAATTTTTCTAAAATTAATTTTTATTCCCGAAACGTTTAAATAATGCTATGAAAATCATTTCATGTTTTCCGAAACTTAAATTCAATCCGATTGTATCAGTTATTACCATTCGCATACATTATTAGGAACATTTATGGAGTTTCATCTACAGCAAGACACACACACAATCAACTTACCCTCAAAATGGAACTTTCGTTCAAGTCATTAAGTTCTTCCAGACTCTCTTTAATCGGATCATCTTTCACAACTGCCGATGTGGGACCGGCAAGGCCTAAAATAAATTACGAAACAAAATATGTTGTTAATACCAAAATGTCTATAAATCAGAAAAGAAAAGAGAGAAATGAAAAACAGACATCAAATCCCCGCACAAACAATTCCACATTTAAATAATATCAAAAGAGAATTATTCAGTCGTCGGTATTTACTATGAATTTATTAAAAAGTGTATTAAAAATTTTGTAGGAAAATGAATTAAAGCCGATAAGAAGATAACAACTTTAAATTGTCTAGGCCAGAAACGAAACTCACAAAAAACGTGTTTGTGATTCCAAAAAAAAAAATTGAACGCAATGAACTGATTTCGTTGTTAAATGTTCATAAATTAAAGCGAGCAGCATTTGCATATTTACATTTAACAAACAGTAAAAATGCATTCGAAGAAAAGTAAAATTTTTTCTGTTGTTATTTATTTTTATTTGTTGTTATTTAGTGGAAATATAATACGTCATTTAAAGAAATTTGAGGCAAAGTGATAAACTGGGTTGGTGAAATGTTCTATCTGTAAAAGACATTTTATCGTAGTTGCAATTGTAAAAATTTCTGTAGAATACCCATAAACTGCAAATGGGTTCATATCATTTAAAGTATATTTTTCGACGATTCTCATCTCGTTCATATACCAAATCAAACAACACTCCTAGACCATTGGAGAGTTCAGTTACTTCCTATAAGCGTTGAAGAATAAGAATATAAGGTAATAAGGGATTCTGTTATAGATAAACCAGTAAGGAAAGGTCAAAAGTCGGGCGGGCCGAGTATATGACACCCTACACAAATACCGAATATAAGGAGGTACCGTTATATGGGGGATATACCAAAACGTGGACCTACATAGCCCATTTTCAGTACCAAAAGTCTTGCAGACATAATATACATTTGAGTAAACGTTTATCAATCTACTTCAATTCGTTCGGAAGCTAGAGTGATTTCCAAAGACGGACAGACGGATGGACATCGCTAAATCGAGATAGAATTTTATGCTAATTAAGAATATATATACTTTGTGGGGTCTAAAATGTATTTTTCGAGGTGTTACAAACGGAATGACAAACTTGATCTACCTTCCATACTATGGTGGAGGGTATAACAAAATGATCGTCATCAGAATAAATGCCGAATATTATCGCGAAAATATTCTGGAGAGTGTATTAAAGCCATGGGCACGCAAACATTTTGGCCGCAGACCTTGGACATTCCAACAGGACTCAGCATCATCGCACTCAGCACGCACCACCCAAGAATGCTTACAAAATGAAATCCCTCTCTTCATTACCAGCGCACAATGGCCACCAAAAATCTCCGGATACCAATCCATTGTGTCTGGAGTATTTTGGAAAGCAAGGTTTGCACCTAAAAAATACCAAAGTGTCGATCACCTCAAGCAAGCGCTTCACCGGGAATGGGCCAAAATACCGCAGAGCAACATTTGGGCAGCGTGTGACGGTTTCATTGGCCGTTTGAAGGCCATAATTCGTGCCAAAGGTGACCAATTAACCCGAAATCGATTGAAGTTATACAGGGTTGCCCATATTCGACGGACCCATCTGGCAACGCCATAACTTTTGACAGAGATGTCACATCGCTTAATGACATACCGCGTTTGAAGCGTCAGTCCAAGCAGATTTTTACCGTGAACCAATACACGCCACGCGAGCGCTCTGAAATTTACATTCAACAGAAGAAGTCAATTGTGAAAACTCAACGTGATTTTAAAACATTAAAAAATGTGAGAAGTGCGCCTTCTAAGAACACCATTAAGCGTTTATACGAAAAATTTTCGACTGGTAAGGCTCTTTCTAATCCGAAGAGGCCATATAAAAGTCGACCAAGGCGATCGGCCGAGAATATCGCTGCCGTACGAGCCAGTGTTGAGAGGTCCCCAAGAACATCCCAAAAACGCCGTTCTCAGCAGTTGGGCATGGCTCGGTCCACTTTACAACGGATTATTCGCATTGATTTGCATTTGTTCCCATACAAAATTCAATTGACGCAAAGAATGTTGCCTGCGGACAAGCCTCGTCGATTTGAATGGGCCCAAAGGTATTTAAATTTAAACCGATTCTCACCAATTTCAATAGGGTTCGTCCTTGGGCCAAACAAATATTGTTTGGAAAATTTCATCTCAATCGGATAATAAATGTGAACTGCATTTTGTTCACAAAAATACAACGACGGAGAGTTGGATTGACATGCATAAATCGACTCAGAAAGTGATTCTATGAAGATCCACAAAAGTAACTATGGGTCTATCTCGCTTCCTTCTCCATCTTACAAACAAATGTACAAATATATAATACCCTTACCACTATGTTGTGTAGAGTATAAAAATGGTTTTTATTGTTCCATAATATAATTCGTAATTATCTGGAATTTTATTATCCGATTAATTGATTCAAATGAAAGCAACTGAAATACTACAATAAATCAAAATAACTTTTGTAAATAACGAGAAAACAAACCAGCCAGCCAAATCACTGGGGAGAGCTGAATATTGGTATACCTACCAATTATTGAATTAAGACACCTGTTGCATTTCAAATACTTTCCAACAATTGAAAGATTTGGAATCAAATAACAACAAAATTAATATTCAAATGTGATTTAATTTTTTAATAACAATTTCACTGTAAAATTTGGAATTAATGTGCGGTCGATGTGTCCCATGTCTTTGGACAAATAAATGGCTACCGTTTTTATTTTGTTTTGTTTTTGGTTTAAAACAAAAACAACAAAAAAATTGTGGATGACTCATTTATGTCTAGAATCGAAAATAAGAAACATACATTTTTACCTCCACCCAGATGCGTATGCCGCCAACGTTAATGTGTAAAACGTTTGTCACAGTGGCTATTCTTGGGCCAGTGATTATGAGTATAAACCAACCAGGGGAAAGGGGGACTATCGAACAAATTCCAAGAACTAAAAGTTTTCAGTTTTTCATTTTTGCCAAATTATCACGAATTAGTTGTTACGCTTTTTAATCATTGCTGTTAACATGGAAATAGGTGAACACAGGCGAGTGCGTGGGTGGCTGATGGGTTTGGTTGAATGTTTGGACAAAATTCACGTTCGATCGAATTGTTATCAAATGATATGAGGATTAATTCCATGCCATATCAGAACATGTTATCAAGCAAACAATTTCTTTCTGTTTAACCTTGTTTTGACTGATAGTGTACAAAATTTAACATGATTCACTGTTGTGACAGTTGGGCTTTTTATTATTTTTAAATCATTAAACTGAATACCCTTCAACTTGAAAACTGATACCTCCTATTTCTTGGTGTAAGACAAACACAAAGAATTTTCTGTACAAAATACACCCGTCTTTTAGGTGTTTTATAAAATTATAATCTGCCTGTCCACCTGTCTGTCTGTTTTGAAAAGTTAGCATTTTAATCCAAGTTTATGATCTCTTTTTTGTCTTATGCTTTATTCGGAATGCAGTTCGGCGTTGTGTTGCCCCTTACAAAAATAGCAAGACAAAAATTACAAAAAGTACTAAATGTCATAAAATACCACTAGAAGTGCCCATTAAAGTCCAAATAAGTGGTTGTAAATTTCACGATTAAAGACTACAAGTTGATAGTTTTATAACACGTCTTCTTGCAAACAAAACGCTGAAAGATAATTAAAAGAAACATTTTTTTTTAAATGACAACAAAGTCTAAAGCCACTTTGTGGATGACATTAGGGTTCTTATGTGGACATTGTATGGTTGGAGGGACAGTTGGGTCGTACAACACAAGACAAGCTTAATGGAATGACGTCATTAAAACATAGTGCAATTAAAAAAAAAACATGGCTGGGACTCTTAGTTGGATTTTCCAAGAACATTTTTATGCTGGGGGATTTTTATGCTGAGATATGAAACAATACATGCATACATATGTGTGTATAAATGTGTAGACTCACAAAATTATTCTACTGCTCCATTGATATGCGTAGGGATTTTCGTAGGTGAAAGGGTTATCGGAAAAGTTTTTACGTCTTTCCTAAAAATACATTCCGTTTCTAATCCTTTTAAGGAGCACCACTTAGTCCATGAGAGGACATTCTTGTCGTTTATTTTACCTTCTGATATAATGGTCTATGAGAAAAATTTTCGGTCGTCTATAGGAATATCTTCCGACCAACTATGGAAGATAATACTGGTGTTAATGACGGCCTTCTGGTCGCCTATGGGATAATCTTCCGACGTCTATGAGAAGATGAGAAGATCTTTAAGTCGTCTATGAGAAGATCTTCTGGTCGTATATGAAAATACATTCTAGCCGTCCATGAAAAGACTTTCTGGCCTTCTCATAAGAAAATCTTCTGGTCATTTATGGGACGATCTTCTGATCGCCAATGAGAAGACCTTTTGGTCGTCTATGAGAGGACCTTCTATCATCTGTGATGAGACTTTTTTGTGGTCTATGAAATGCCATGTGGTCGAATATAAGAAGACCTTCTGGTTGTGTTTGAGAAGACCTTTTGGTCATCTGTGAGAAGATCTTCTGGTCGTCTGTTAGAATAGAGGGTGAGATGAAAATACTGCAACCAACTTCAGATTGCTAAGCCACTTGTCCGACATCTGTTAAAGTTATTACAGTGACAGCCATTGTTTACAAGCGTACAAAACCATTTTGGTGGGAATTTTCCAGAAAAAAAATTATTCGTGATAGAATTTAAGCGTGATATTGTGTTTTCTTTATATTTGGAAAACCACAAGTGGCTATCTTTAGAGCACTTCAGCATTTAAATGTGAATAAATCTTTTGTGTTTCGTACCATCGCTCGTTACCGTGATATTGGTAGCGTAGCCCGACGTCAAGGAAGTGGACGGAAGAAAACAGCAACATCAGCAGAAATGGTTCGAAAAGTAAAGAAGCGACTTGATCGAAACCCGCGTCGAAGTGGCCGAAAACGGCTCGTGAGCTAAACATATTGCAATATTCCATTCGGCAAATATTGAAAAATGAGCTCAGGGTAAAGCCATTAAAATTCCAAAAAGTGCAAGAACTTACACTGCAACAGAAAGAAAATAGACTCAAAAGAGCTGCTTCGCTTGGCCGATAGTGCTGAACTGCCGAATTTGGTTTTCTCCGATGAGAAAATATTCGTTGTCCAGCTGTTTTCAAACAAACAAAATGAACGTGTTTACTTGCCAAAGGAGTCAGCTGAAAATGTGAACCTTCGGTTGGCCACCAGAACTCAAGCGACGGCCACGGTGATAGTTTAGGACGCCATAACAGTCGATGGTCGCTCTACGCTCATATTAATCGAAATGCCGAATATTATCGAGAAAATATTCTGGAGGGTGTATTAAAGCCTTCGACACGCAAACATTTTGACCGCAGACCTTGGACATTCCAACAGGACTCAGCACGCGCCACCCAAGAAATGAAGTTCCTCGTTTCATTTCCAGCGCACAATGGCCACAAAAATCTCCGGATACCAATCGGTTGGACTATTGTGTCTGGAGTATTTTGGAAAGCATGGTTGGCACTAAAAAATACCAAAGTGTCGATCATCTCATGCTAGCGCTTCGCCGGAAATGGACCAAAATACCGCAGAGCAACATTCGGGCAGCATGTGACGGTTTCATTGTCCGTTCCTGACCAATTCGAAGAAATCTAAACTTATTTTAAAATTTGATGCTGTTACCGATATATTTTGCTTTCATTCAATAAAATTTTACTTTGTTGCAGTTTTTTTATATCACCCAGTACACTCTGATCGTCTGTCAGAAGATTTTCAGACAGCTTATTAGAAGACCTTCTGGTCGTGTATTGAAAGACTTCCTGGTTTCCTATGACAAGACTATCTGGCTTCGTATGAAAATACCTTCTCGCCTTTTTTTGGGAAGATCTATATAAGAAAATATTATGCTTCCCCTTGGGAAGATATGACCTTCTTTAAGAAGAACATTTGACATTCTCTGAGAATGTCTCTCTGATTTTCTACTACAAACTTTCCTACTCTTCGATGAGAAGATTTTTGGTGTTTTCTTGAAAGGTATTTTTTCGTTTTCTATAAGTTCTCCTTAACGAATACCATCTGGGTTTCCATCAGAAGACTTTGTAGTATTGGGAAGAATACTTTCCTATTTTCAAATATATTATTAGGAGAGTTTTTGTCTTCTAAGAATACCTTTTGACCTTCTATAAGACATTCCGAATTGTTTGTCCTGCTGTAAAGATCTACTCTTGCATAGAAGACCTTTTGGAAGATAGATTTTCGGTGTGAGAACAATGATTTTGGAAGAAGACTTTTGGGTCTTCTGACCATTTGTTTATACAAAAATACGTTGTGCTCGTATTATTTTTATGTGCTACACATTAAATTTTATTATAACACAACAAATATTCATTCCACCCTAATAAGTATTCGTAACACTCCTTTGAGCTGTTTACTTAAAGCAGGCGGAGATCAACATCGGGCTAATTTCACAAAATCAATCCTCCACAGCTGGTGGCGAATAATTTATGTGGAAGGAAACTCAACGTCTGAACACATATCAACACATACGTAAATGATGAACAAAGAGGAGAGAATTTCTGAACAAAAAATAAAGAACAGACAGACGACAACTTACCCAGATCAACGGCAGAGATTACTAGGAATAAAACTAGTAATTTATACAGTGTTGTTTTAGATGATTTCACCGGCATTTTGAGCAAAGTACTTTTGCCACAAATCAATATTTTTCAAAATACACACACACACCCGTCGAATGGCACAGAATATTTCAAGTAAAAATTAGCTCAGCTCAATGTTTCTCTTTGTTTTTCTTTTTTTAAATTTTATTCGACACGGTAAAAATTGCCAATAAACACGGCTCTTTGACGCGATACGTTATCAATCAAAATGCGACAGCTCTAATACTTGGCTTTGTTAAAATTGTAGATAAACACAACTGGTTGTGGCAAAAGCAATCTATAAATGATAACAAATCGTTTGTTTTATTAAAATCAAACAAAGTAATGTTTTTTGCACACCATGAAAAGACAAAATAAATATTTGTTTTCTTGAAGACACTTGGTTTGCCTTAGGGGTTTTCTTTTGTTAAAACAAGTCTGGGATGTTGAGTACGTTGGTTTTATTTTGTTTTAATATTTATTTAACGCCAAATGTCAAATTCGTTTTCGACAATTTTTTTTTCAACGTAAGATCCACTCTCTGAAAAACAACCGTTACGATCAAATGTCCACAGACAACTGTTTCGGTTTGTTTGGGCCAAGTCGTTTGTTTTGTGTTTATCTGATCGGTGTGGGCTTCTTAACTTGTTCAACCAGTTGAGTTATACAGTTTGTGACTCTCTCTCTCTCAATCAGACTTATTTTGTAGATCTCTCAATTACTAACTTTTACAAACTCTCAAAATGGTATTTGTATTTTAAAAGAGTAACAGAATACATACTTTTAATTCTCTACAGTGTTGTCAATATTTCAGGCACACAATGAATATATTGAAAAAAGTTAAATATATTATATAAAAATTATATATGATGTCGAAAAAATTCAAAACTGGGGCGAAATCACCACAGTCGAAATCGATTATTTAGGCATCGTAATGTAGTTTATACGGATCACCGCAGACGTTATCGAAATCTTTTCACTCAAAGTTCTACACGATATGCTATCAAAGACCAAGTAGGGTAAGTGTGCCTAAGTTCGGCATGTCCCAGTAGTCGGCAGTTTTGAAATTTAATCTTAAATAACTAAGAATAGAATTGACCAAAAATGAAATAATTGCAAAAAAACGTCAACAGTGTTCTCTGGTCTCTTTCTGTAAAAAAACAATGAGCTCCGATCATTTATTACGAGAGAATAACGGTTTTCGTCAGTGAGTGTCTTCCAACGCGTGCGATAGTGCTTGTTTGTAAAGAAAAAAATAGTGGTGGCGTCAACTTAATAATCAATTCAAGTACATTAAATTTAATACTTTCGGAATCAGAAATATTTTATAATACTAAATAAGAGTCTAAAGATCATTTTATAACTTAAAAACGTACAAATCAAACATTTTTCTGTTATATTATTGAATGCCGACATTAGGAACAGAAAAAAAGAGATTTGCCAGTAGTCGGTAGGGGGTGCCGATTACTAGAAAAATATCATTTTTGACCAATTTCACCAAAACTTGAGAAAAGTATTAAAAAATAATCCAAAATGTACTCAAATAAAAAATAGTTTTGAGTCGGCAGTTGCTTTTATTTGTGCTTTTTGACCAACTTTTCTAAATTAAGTAGGTTTTTTTTAATTAGCTATTTGACGTTTTAGATAGCGGTGGCATTTTTGAAAAAAAAAAGTTTGGCTATCTAAAGGAAAAAGATCAATTCACAAATTCCAAATATAAGAATGGTACTTTTTTCTTTTTTTATTTATTTTAATTGAAAATCCTTTCGTTACTGAAGGTAACCAATTTGAGCTTGATGGATACTCAAAAAATTGAGCCTTTGTAGGGGAGTTGCCAGAAGGAGTGAACCGATATACACAACAGATCTTGTGTTAGTGAAAATAATGGGATGTGCAAAATATAAACAGAAACTGATGCTTTTTCGGAACACCAGATCTTGGGTTTATGAAAATATTGGGATGCGCGAAATTTTAAGACAATCGGATTCTTATATCACATTTTATAAGACTTATAATTATTCAAAATTTTTACCCTTTGTGGGGGAGGTACTTGATGGAGTGAATCGATATTATCCATTTTTGCACCTGACCTAGAATCAACGCAAATATTAGGATTTGCAAAGTTGGAGAAAACCCCGGATTATTTATTTTCTTTCTGTGTAGAAAAAAATTGTATAAATTTTGAAAATTTCGACCTTGTGTGGGGGAGGTACCAGAGGGGGTGGACCGATATATTCCATCTTAACGCCAGACCTTGGGTTAACATAAATATTGGGATGTGTGAAATTTTAAGACAATCGGACTCTTACATCACATTTTATGAGAGTTGTAATTATTTAAAGTTTTGGAAAAGAAAGTTGCTAAAAATAATTGTCTTTTTTAAATACAACAGGCAAGTACAAAATTTTAGCCAGTAAACTCGCCAAGTCTAAATCAGGACTAAAACTTACTTTCTGTTTGTACAATGATTCCAAATACGTCTAAGTGGTTTGATTTTTTTACACATCTACGTCGTTTTATATTCTGAGCAAAAAATGAACTTATGTTTTATTTTCTGTGAATAGTTATACAATCGTGTTCTTGAATTGTGTTATCTCTTTTTCAAAACTCGCCAGAAAGACTAAAAAACCGCAAAATTGGCATTACTCATTCCATGAAAGTAAATGGAGATTACTCATTTCTGCTCATTACACAAAATATGTTCTCAAATTTTAATTTCTTTGCAAAATTAAAATAAACTAAAAAATATGAAATGGTTATTTATTATTATATTTCCTCTATATATATTTCCACATAAGTTAGTGGATTTTATTTGCAAATGGCCAAAAATTCTAATTTTGTTCATGTTATGTAATGTCAGGTGTGGGGTTCGAACCCACGCTCCCTCTCGGGAACCAGAGCTTAAATCTGGCGCCTTAGACCGCTCGGCCAACCTGACCTGCTGCCGTTTCCATCAAATTTTCATTGAAAAATATGGGTGGACGCACACAAAGATGAACAGAAATATTCTATTAGAAAAACATACATATGCTGTCATATGTGTGTCATTCGGGTGCCTGTCGTGGATCTGCGTAATGTTATTAAAAATTCGCTAATAATAGCATATTGAACAATTTTGCTAAGACAAACAAATTTCGCAAAATAAACGTGAAAAACGATTTTAGTGGCAAATTTCGTGGGAAAAAGTATTTAAAAATAAAAATGTAATTTAAACAAAATTGGAATATGTCTGCACTACATTTTTAATGCCTTTTACCTCTAATTATTGTAATAAGTTGATGATTTTATAATACAAAGTTTAATTTAAAATGTTACATGTTATTTTTAAACAAAGATACATTTAAGCATGAGGAAGTGAAATAGCGTTAGGTTCAGCCGAGCCAAACTTTTCATAACCTCCACCATTAGAAAATGAAAATATGTTCGAAAGCAACCATTGCGCATAAAGAGGGGCTCTAGCCCTTCCGGCTACGTCGGTGATTCCATTAAAAAAGTATCTTAAGTCATTAAAATACCAAACATCGGAAGGGCTATAAGAAAGAAATGCGTATATAGATTCCCATAATTATATAGATTCGTAATTCGCTTCCCGATAAATTTTATTACTCTATTTTGAAAAAGGATGGATAAATAATTTATTAGTTGTTTTAGATAAAATCATTTCACATGAAATTCAATTCATCTCTATTAGGTGTATAATCTGGAAGTAATTCCCAGATTTTCATACGCCAACGTTGTCTCCTTTCTTCGGTTTCCTTCTCTAGCTGCAATATTTGTGGTAAACGTTGCCAACAGTCCAATACTTTCCATTTCAAATGCCTAAAATTTTGAAAAAAAAAAAAAATACAATTTTTATTTCATTTGAACAACCTTTTCATTTTGGTTGACTCGATTTGGAAAATTTGTTTTTTTTTTTTAATTTAATAGTTTTATTTTTATTTATTCAACATTTTGTTCATCATCAATTATTAGAAATTTAATTAAATGTTTCTTAACAAGAGTATTCCCACCATAGTCGATACTCATGGACAGGGATTAATTTCTATATGTATTTCTTGTTAAGAACTCTGTTATTTTTTTTATTGATTCAGCATTTAGATCATCATCGATAATCATGATCAGGGATTAAATTAAATATTTCTTAACAAAAATGTTAATTTTCCTAACAGGAAATATTTTATTTTTCCCTTGATCTATCATTATAAAAAACAATTCCTTTCAACCAAAAAAAAAAAAAAAGAAAACGTTAAATTTCCGTTAAATCGGATTTCTTTGCTACTCACCATTCATGATGCATTGTGGCCTGTCTCATTTTGGTTTCTTCAATCATTTTCATGCGTTTAGTGTAAGCAAACCATTTGCCAAACATTGATTCGGTCAATTTCAATTCGTGATAATCTACGGCTACATGATATTTGCTTCGCTCCTGTTCGGCATAGAATTGCCAAAAGTGAAGATATTTTCTCTTCAAAAGTTGTTCATAAAAATCGTCAGCCTTTTGACAACGACGAGCTTTAAGAATGCGGTAGATACTAAACCAAGCTTGAAAATATGTTCTCTTATAAAGAGAATGTCGCAAGTCTTCGCATTTTCGTATATTATCCCTCTTACGTTGTATCAAACGTTTAAAACCCTCCATGCCGATGCGTTTCAAAAGCAAGCGTCTATAGAAATCGTGAGCTTTTTTTTGATTTTCTATGTAACGTTGTCGCTCACGTTCTTTAATGATTTTAGCCATCTTCTCTAGACGTCTTTTTTCCTTAAGGGCCTCGATGCGCAAACGCTTGGCTTCTTCATCTTCTTGGCGCTGTAGAGAACATTTGTTTTAATTTTTTGTCTAATAAAATTTTTCATTTTACCTTAGCTTCCTCCAGAGCCATTTTCTGTGCCTCTCTTTCGGCTTCTTTTTGCAATCTGCGTTGCCGTGCCTGCTCATGCTTGATACTTCGCTCTAGTGCCCTTTCTTGCATACTTTGCAAAAATTTGGGCATCAGCATAGCTTTACATTGTAAATTGGCTAAACGTTCGTCTTCCTTATCGCGGAGATTGCCAATCAATTGCAGACATTTGGCTTTAGCCTTCGATTTTGCATCTCCCGAACGTATAACGGATTTCAATTCTGTTTTCAATTCCATCCGGGCTTCTCTAGCTTCCTCCGATAATTTGCTTAATTTGAGTTCCATAATAATTCGTTCCTGACGTTCCAATTTCAGACGCTGCAAATCGATGATGTCCTGTTGGACTTTAATTCTGTGAATAAAGAACGATAATTATTCTGAACCTTAAGTCTAATGTTAAAAGAAATGTGTAAAGGTAGAACCAAAAGTGTAAATACTTACTTATTTTGATATTTCTTATTTATTTTCAAGTTTTCAACGGTATTATGTTTTGTGGGCGCTATCGAAGAGCTAAACTCGCTATCTTCTCCTCCGGCTTGTTGTAGCTTTTCACATTTTTTGCGACGACTTTTCTCCATACGAATTTTATCCAAAAATATGTTAATTTTTCTTACACGATCAGCATGTCCATCAACATGTTCCCTTTCGATTTTCTCGACATGGGTAAAATGCAGCCATTTAAGAAA